TGTCTGTCTGATCGCATCCTTGACATGGAAATTGTGCCAAAGGTACCACAGCATCTGTATCTTGGGAGTATGAGTGAAAAAAAGACGTTGTGGATGGGTATTAACAGCACGCTCTGGAAGCACAAAGACATTGCAATGGAACAAAGCTTTCAATTTGAACATCTTGTTCTGTAGCTTAAAGACGTCAGCGCTTGAAAATCTGGAAACAAAAGTCTAGAAGCGAAGGAAATGAAGATTTTAAAATCAACATTGGGAGTAATGTGGTACGGCATGCTGTAAAATGCTGTTGTAAGAGAGATTGGAATATTCAACTGAAGTGACCGATTACTACGACTGGGGGGGCCTTTGGCAACGTATGACAATAACTTCAAAGAGAGATGGTGAAGTGGCGCCAGAAAGACGCTCAACAAGATGAGAGGTGGGAAGGTCTTGCTAAGACTGACGTGGCATCAGAATGACTGAAAAATGATAAGCATTTATGGTATCGAAATGGAATGCTTGTATGACACCTGGCGTCGATGTAACCGTACAAGAAGGAAACTTATGACTAAGGTGAGTAATCTAAATCGGAAATTGTATATGCAAATGTTAATACTTGACAGCCAAAGTATACCATGAAGGAACGTCGTAGAAGCATCAGAAATTATTACAAGCGACAATGCTTTGCTTGCGCACGATTGTAGTCAGAACCACGAAACGATACTCTTATGAATTGAAAAACCGGAGCGAATTGTTACCGTGGACAAAGAGCATTTTCTCCAAATAGACTCCTTCAGTCACGTCTAAGCAAACCTATTTGAAAAGGGTCAAAATATTGGGTTTATATGTTTGCTGTTCATAAAAATATTATTATCGTTTTCTTTAGATCGCATTATTTTTCCGTTCAAAACATTTCTGTAGCTTCTAATTAGATGTGATGCGTTTCATGCGTTATGTTTTTTGCTGCGGTCAGTCGGGTGTCGTTGGACGCAAACTCGGCGGTTCGTTTCGAGTCAGTGTAGAGGTAACTTTCTCGTTTACGTGTATAACCGTCGTTCCGTTTCGCATCGTTGCTTTTGGGAAAGCCAGGTGGTGAACGGAGCTGTTTGTTTCTGATTGTGGGTTGTCGATCGAAATGTCACCGTGTCGTTTAGAGATGCGCTTTCGGCCTCCTGCACTGCGTACAAACTTTTCGCACGTTGCACTTCAGCCGAAGACAGGCCGGCGCCGACTTTTGGCAACCCTTCGCTCTGGAAGTGCCTTCCGGCTGTGAGTGCATGTGGCCGGTCGAAGAATTTGGGTCGCTGAATCGTCGTAACGAGTTATGACAGCGACGCGACGAATCGTCGTCGTCGTCGCACCGACCGACCGACCGACCGTCCGACCGACCGACCAACGACACACCGGCTGGGTCCAGTCGCC